GGACCAGAAGCGTTGAGGAAGACTGGATTGAGCCAGGAGAGTGAGACCAATTTCTACAACATGACGATGGCGGCGTTCAACAATGCCATTTTGCTCACTGATGTGAGGACAAGACCTTCTGTGGATGATGCCAAGGTTGCGACAAAGATTGGTGAGAGGCCGAAATTCACCCCCCCAATCAGATTGAATATACTTTAATTTGGTGTTAAATTGGCGTTCAATCATGGTGATAAATTGTGTGAACACAGTATACACATCAGATTTTTTATTTAAGGGATAAATCCACATATAACGTGTAACGATGACCATCAAGAGATGGCGTGGGAGAAGGGCCCCAAACATCACAGTAAACAAGATCTAAAATATTATTGCTACGAAAAGTGGAATCATGTAAAGATGTCTTTGAAGATTTTCCCAATTGACAAGAAGAACATAAAGTATTTGATAATTTGTCCGAAACGGGTAAAGAACAATAAGAAACAATTGAACRAAAAACTTGAGCATGAGGATGTCCTAAACGTTGATGCCAAATGTTCGAAGGAGCTTTAACAGCAGTGAAGGCAACCTTCGGCAGAGACTTGAGTTGAGGAAGACGAATGGAGTATAAACCCTGTTCACTGGGGCCCGTAAGGAGGGTAGTGCRAGTAGACTCGTCCTTGACAACAAAATAAGAAGAGTGAAATTCAAAGAAAACATTGTTATCAAGGCAAAATTTTTGAACAGATAAGAGATTTTGTTTTAGTTGAGGAACATGAAGAATGTCGGTTAGGGTAAAGGTTTTGTTTGGTGAGTATATTTCGGATGAACCAATGTGAAAAATGGGTACAAAATTACCGTTACCAACAAGTAAAGAATCGTTACCGTAATAGGCCTCTGAGTTATCCATGCTAGATAGGTCTGGTGTGGCATGATGAGTTGCACCAGTATCTGGTTTCCAAGTGGGACCAGAAGATGAGCCAGCCTCTGAGTGTGATGTAAAATTGGCCTGTGGTGTAGAATGAGACTGGTTCGGCTGATTTGGGCACTGAGACGGTAGATGACCTATGCCACACCTGTTGCAATGGCCATAGACTGTGTTGTGGGTTGAAGCCCAAGAAAACTGTCGGGAGCCATTGCTATCCCGAGGGCGATTATTGAAACCACTACGTTAGTTGCCACGAGAACCACGAGATCCTCGACCACCTCGGTTATTGTTGAAGGACCGAGAACCATAATATGCTTGAGCCCGTGGGGTGGGAAGGGGGTTTAATTGATAACCAAGTTGAGAAGCCACAAGTTGAATGCTTTGGAGTTGTTGCTGAAGTTGATCGAGATTCAGTTGTTGAATCGAAGATGCAGCAGCCGTTAGTGGCTGGGGTATTGGAGCAGTGTTGGCCAGGAAAGCTTGTGGAGTTAAGTTCTTTGTAAAAACATAGTCATGATCACACAAAAGACCATGCAGTTCATTGAAGCGAACAAGAGGTAAACGGGTCAGTAAATTGCCTTTAATGACATTGTATTCCTCTCGMAGCCCTGCGATAGTTAGCATTACTAGGTCTTTGTCCTTCATTGGTTCTCCAATGTTTGCTAGAGCAGTGGCATATTCGTGAACCCTGCTTAGGTAATCAGCTGGTTTTTCATCACCCTTCATGGTGATTCTAAGCAATTGAGTTTTGAGAGTAAATTCATGAGAGGATGTAACAGGGGCATAAGCTCTTTCAAGAGATAACCATACCTCACGTGATGTTTTTCCCTGAATGTGTTGATAAGAATCTTCGGACATAGTAGAGATGATAAGCATCCGAATGTGGGCATCGTTTGAGATCCACGGAATGTAGCTTGGATTGTCGGTGGTTGCTGATTCGTTGGTGATTTTCTGATCAGGGCACGGTACTGTTCCATCAACATAACCAAAGAGATTATGAGATGTGAGAAAAGCTTCAATCATAGAACGCCAATAGCCATAGTTGGTAGGTTTGAGAAAGGAGAATTTGTGTGAATTGTGAATGGTTTTCTCCTGATATGAAAAGATGATTATAGCTGCCATGAATTCTGAGTTGATATGTCTTTAGCGTCGGCAGATTGTTGATGAATTGAAGAGTGCCGATTGTAGGGTTAGGGTTAAAGGGCGCCGCCCGGCAGATGAGTGGTTGAAGGAACAGCGCCGGCAGATTAGGGTTGAAGGAACAGCGCCGGCAGATTAGGGTTGAAGGGACAGCGCCGGCAGATTAGGGTTGAAGGGCGCCGATTTTAGGGTTAGGTAGAAGGATCGATTTTAGGGTTAGGGTTAGGGTTAGGCTCTGATACCATATAAAACTTGATATTGATTGTATTGATTGAAAAATAATAATAATCTGATACACCTTATATGGGTAAAACTAATTACACTTTGGACCCTAGACAATATTAATAATATAAACTAGACTAGTTGACTTAGTCTAACACCTGTAACACCATTGGTGTAATAAGATTTCTTGGCATCTTTCAGGATGGCACATAGTTTATTCAGTATTTAATTAATGAAAGGCTTCTTTATTCTACCTTTGTTTCATTACCATCTAATGGATCTTACAAGCACAAGCAGCCCCCTGTAGTGGCTTTATGTAATGACCAAAAATGTAGGTGTTAGACTAGAGATGATACAAATCACTATAAAAAATCAGAAATTTCATATATGTAAAGAACTTCAAGCCCTATGAGAGGAAAGAAACGTGAGTGGAACTCATCATAGCAAAGTAGAAAAAACACAAGGGAAGTTCAAGGTAACAGCAGGAAATGAAAAACTAACCTGTTTCCCATCTGCTGGAAATGGAAGTGATTGTTCAATGTATGCAGTTGTTCCTGAAGCCAAGTGACCAAATTATAACAAATATCTTTCAGAATCAGATGAAATTATGATTATCTGTTAATGTTTAGGGTCAAAACAATGTGGCAGAACCTCCAATATATAGTACATGATATGGCCCAGCAGGTAAATCCATGATATATTTAATAGCATACAGCTCTGAATATGCACAAAAATAGATATAATAACTATCTAATCTAAGAGATTTGATGCAACATATAAAAAAGTAAGCCCTAATAAAATGCCAACACTCTCCTCAGATATGATATTCATGTCCAGCTGGAAAATCGATCACATTTTTAACAGTAGCAACCAAGCTGGGACTTGGTCTTGAATGACAGAGATGATGAAAGGAGGCTCTATTAGAGTAGCTAAAACACTGTTACACAACAAATAACAGTCAACCTAGAGTGTATGATGGGTATGCCCATAGACTAGCGTACATAAGGATCAAAGGCACGTCAATGTTGCCAAGTGTAAACTCGTTTAAGTAAGAGAAAACAGCCATTGGCAATTATTCAAATAGCTTGAAACTAGAGGAAGAATAATCACAAGCAATACTTGTAGAGAAAAAAAAGATTTTGGACTCCAAAAAGGTAACATAAGCTGAATTAAAAATGATGACATAAGGAAGAACTATAACACCTATGACCCTTTTAAACATAGGAATGTCCAATAAACATGCATCAAAGAGGATTAGCATCAAGTTTAGCTCCAGTGACACATGTCCCATAACAAACACAATCAATCTAGTAAGCGACATGAAATAGAGGACTATGGAAAATTACAAAGAAATTTCCGCAGCATTGACTTTATGTGCTAGCTGAAGATTCTTGCATTCAACAGCACCATTCTCTTGAATTATAGGCAAATGAAGACACACGACGTTCTATTTTGAAACATAAATTTATTAAATTCAGTGATAGCATTGTCACTGAGCAGTTTACATTTGAACAGCAAATTGAGTGGCAATATAAGCACAAAAGTCATGGAAAAAGAGATAAAGATCACTGTAAGATTTAATAAATGAATCCCACCTAGTATTGGAAAGGTCCTCAACAGACGTTATGAAATACCAAAAAACATTAACACCTAACAGAACAAGCCCCCCATATATGAGCAGGAAATTACTGAAAACAAGAACCAATATGATCTTGGCTTTAGGAGGTAAGACATATTATTGTTTTTACCTAATAACACGGCACAAGACAAATCAGAAGCAGATGAACATTCTGGTCATTGTTTCTTCAGAATAGTGATAAGCCTCCTATACGAATGACTTACAGCAGGCACAAGAAGGCTCAAGGGGAGAAGTCAAATGCAAGTTAAAAGAGGCATATTGTAATTTCTATTTAGAAAAAGTCGGTGAATCTAGAAGTTTGTTAGAATTAGAGAATAAATAGTATTGGGGGAGAGGAGAAAGGAGGCAATTAGACAACAGTACCGAGTGTGGCTCTGGAGAGAACAAGCCTCTCAAATTGCTTGTATTACTTTTTGCCTTCTATTAATACAATCATTCGACTCTAAGAAGGCTCCTACCTTAGAGTTTATCAAATAGTAGGGGAGGGATGCCCTTCTGAAATTGAGCATCCTTGATTCTGTTAACACAAAAACCTGCAACCTACAATCCAGGGGGATCCAACCGATAAGTAGGCACTGTTGGACGAGGAGGGGATTGAGACAAGGCTCCTTCCAAGAAACAATCTCACTTTAGATGCTTGAACTCTCTGCAAAAGTGACACGATCTTTTTCTCTATCCTGGTTGAAGGATGGTTTATTGCTCCTCCCTCCTCTCCTTCCTCGAGCTCCTATGCTGAAGTTGGAAGAGCCTAATGCAGCAAGGACATACCTCAATACCATGTTGAGAAGGTGATCTAGACACGATGCATCTTGCAGAATGAATAGTATCTAGAAAGGATCTATTCACCTATGGCAAGCTACTACTTGCTGCTAATGGTCAAAGCATTCTCTACAAGATTTCCTCATCACCCTTCGTCTTGAATTTTCCTTCAAGGTTGTTTAGGAGGCTATAGGACTACACCGTGGTGGTTGTTTGCTCATCAAGCACAGGCTCATGGTCATAAACTTCCAGTGGTTTGCAGATTCTCAGAAGTGCTTTGATTATTTCAGTTTCTGCAAATGGTCGCTTCAATTTCATTCCTAAGGCGTTATGTCAAATCTACTATGATATGTAGCTTTTGGTAGAGATAGTATCTTTCAGAGTCTACTCATTTGGGTTTTTTCTTGGTTCTGGAAGTTTGCTTTCTTTCCTTGTGAAATACAAATCTAGTAAGGCATTTGATCCCGTATTTATCGAGACAATTTCAACCGGACAAAATTCCCTCACCCCACCATGGTTTGTGTTGGTGATTTTAGTGAATCATCAAGCCATGTTGTAGTAAGTGGATTCACAAGAGAACGAAGGGGTCGGTAGTTAAGCTTAAGACAAGTTAGGAGGTGCGGAGTGCACACTCGTATAAGCTAAATTGAACCTGGGATGACCAGATGTCGCCATAAGGCGGCGCCCGGGGGGGGGGGGGGGGGGTTCAATGGAGCGGCACTCCCTTGCAGGGTTCTAGGGCCACCCCTGTCAGGGTCTATGGAGCAGAGCACCTGGCGGCGATCCCGCTAATCGGATAGCTTCGAAATGCTAATCAAAAGGCATATCCAGAAGACCAAGTCCTGAACTCARAAGGATGTGTAGAGTTCAGAAGGCTGACTTGGTCTTTGAAGATAAGCCTTTTTAGAAGGGCAACTTCATACAGCCAGCCTTCACTTCGAAAGGGGGACTTGGGCTCAAAATGGAGCGGCACTCCCTTGCAGGGTTCTAGGGCCACCCCTGTCAGGGTCTATGGAGCAGAGCACCTGGCGGCGATCCCGCTAATCGGATAGCTTCGAAATGCTAATCAAAAGGCATATCCAGAAGACCAAGTCCTGAACTCARAAGGATGTGTAGAGTTCAGAAGGCTGACTTGGTCTTTGAAGATAAGCCTTTTTAGAAGGGCAACTTCATACAGCCAGCCTTCACTTCGAAAGGGGGACTTGGGCTCAAAATGGCCTGTAACTTTATGAATGTAGTGCAGCAACCATTTTCTTAACCGCCCAATAACTGTGCATTAACTTCCGGTAACTGACTACCTTTTAAAAGTGCATTCATTCACAGTTTTAATGTACAAGATACTACAACTTCTCTGTCTATAGCTCTCGATTTCTACCAAAATGGTATGTGAATTGAGATTATCCTCAAGAAAATTTCATGTAACCTAGCCAGAAAATGGTCAAAATATTTCCTAAGTATTAATGATTCTACACGATCTCAGATTCTTATCCAAGTATATTGTTTTGATTTCTCATGAACCTGGAACCAGATCCCTAACACTTTGTTGATTGTTTTCGAGATCAAGATTAGCACATTTGGATCCCATATCAATGGCATATTCAAAAATAAGGCTCCCTCAACTTCATTTTCAGTCTCATTGCAGTCTCAGTGTTGAGACTTATTTGTCAAGTATGCAAGAGGTGTCTAGTTCAAGTAGTTTGCAACGTCAATGTAGCTTTAGAAGACTTCCTGCCTCCTTAACTTGTGTTCAGAATTGGATCGCATTGATATCCTAGCAGTACAATCTCAACTTTTGCCAAAAAAAGGAAAAACATAAAAATGCATGACTAGATAGAAAAATGACCGAAAACTATGGGCCAAGATGAGGCAGAAAAACAAGATAATGCTGCAAAAAGTAAGAAGCATGAGCTGTCTCTTCTGCTGATTGAGGAGATCCGTGGTAATAGATTTTAAAAAAAAAGTATTTGCAGCTTATCATGCACCTTCTTAAATCGAGTTAAATAATATGTCAGAGCAGAGTCCCTTATTCATATCGAGAGTATACCTGGGTAACTGAGCAGGAATATGACAAGGACATTGTATATTAATACATCTACTGATGCTCCTACTCCCACATGTTCTTTAGAGAGACACAACTATTGTTGTCAGTAACACTTCTGGCTCCATGGCGTTGAAAAGCCATGACAATACCATTGTCAAGTTTGACAGTGGACTTCACTATACTACGGAGGTGGCATTCTAACAATAAGGACCACTGGGTCCAGTTTGAATAACTCAATTTTAACTAGAATCCACAAAACTGAGTTGTAGTTTGGAATACAGGTGGCAGCAGAAAGAAGCGATGGGCCGCCATGCTGACAGCAGTTGTTAGCTTATATGCATCGCTAGGAATTGGTGACTAGTGGTGGCTATAAACTCATGTATACGGTTTTGAAGTGTTTTTTCCATCGATTAATATGAGAATATATATAAATAGAAAATACAAGGGCTTAGGGCCGACCTTGAAAGCAAGAAAATCAAAACCTAAATGCTAAATCTGCACCAATATATATATACAGAAACTTGAGAAAACTACGAAGATGGAACAATAAACTGTTTATGCAAACTACAAATATCAAAAGGAACTAGAAAATGTTAAGTGTCTAAATTTAAATTAATCAACAGTATCCAGACATTGAGTGACGGCAGAAAAAGTAACATACCAATTGGAAGATTAAGACTTCGAAGCAACTGAACCATAGCCTTTGTGTCCAAACGACGCCGTACACGGTTGCCTACCAGCACTTTCACATTAGGAGAATCATATACCTAAAAGATACAAAGAAATGGTAGCACTTAAAGTAATAAAGAATCAACATGCACTTCAATCCACTTCAAAAATCTCGACGGACAACTAGGATTATAAAAGAAGACAATTGCATCTATGCTTGAAGGCAACAATGGCAATCCAGCATTTCACAACATCAGAGAACTAATGAAGCCATATCAATCAATGTGAACACATGGATGACGAACAGATTTCAAAAAATTCATCAACATATATCTTTTAAAGATCCTCACATTTCAATACCATCATCGGACAAATGATTAAATCATAAACATTGAACAAGTTTTCTTGTAGTTAATATAAAATATATAGCCCCTAGTCCTCTTAAACTCACTAACGAAGTTTTATCCAGATCAAGAATTGAAAATATATTCAACAAAAAGCTAAGTAATACCTAGAGCTTCAGAGTATAGAGAAGCAATCACAAAAATTGCCACACTGAATAAAAAAGAGTCATAGTGTAAGGTCTAACATGATGCGAACTGTATCAGCATAACTACAAATTGCAAATAATTAGAACCATCTTGATCCTACACAGAGATTTGCAAGATTTAATTGGCTAGTTGATACAGGATAGGGGATCCAGAAGGTTGAGGAAGCCTAAATTAGGAGTTTGTGAATGTTATCATAATTAAGAAGGTATTTGGTACCATTGTGCGTTATTTAAAATATTCATGGATTGATGGTACCATGAACCATCCAACTTTAACACACCCAACCCCTCCAAAAAAAAATTCAAAATACATTAATAGTTTAGGTTCAGAGACCACAGTTCTGGTCACAATAATCACCGGAAATAGCCCCAAAGTGAATAACTAAAACTTTACCCTTGATTTCAAATATTATATTAGCCTTGGAACGAGTAGATGCAAAAATCACAATCAATAAAACATGATCTTAATGTATTATATCTTCTGCACTCATTTTATATTTAAAAATATGTCAACCAAAAAGAAGGTATTTGATCAAATAAGAAACTAGAGTATAATAATTAAAGCATTCTGGAAAAAATAGTAGAAGATTTCTATAATTACTTCCTACCACTGCCCCTTCCTCTCCCCCTAGTACTAAAACCCTCATTTAAGCTTCTTCATGATTCCTTAAGGTTCATGTGGAATTGATAAGGTGAACTATGATCTTGCATATATGACATCCTCCAACACCCAGATAAGTGATCCATTTTTCATCTTTTATATCAAGGAAGCTAAAAGAACCCAAAGAAAGCACATAGACACGCTATTGAGGTTTCGCAATGACAAAGATTTTACATACACCCCTCCAATGCAACTCATGCAGGCAAGAAGCGATAAGCTGAAGGCAAAATCAATGTCAAAGGAGGAAATAAATATTTCTCTTTCAGGGTTTGAGGAATGACAATATCAGCTAAGGTGTGAGGCGCAAAGGTCTCCCAGGGCCTCCTATGTGCAAGGCACAAGGGAAGGCGCAGCTCATCAAATTGAAAGATGTGACTTACCAACATTAATAAATACACGTACACACTCAAAAACAACCATAAAGTAAGATTGAACAAGTAACAAATCTCAACAAAAAATCTGATTAAATATTAACTACTCTTTATTATAATAGAGAAGTTGAGGAAACAAAAACACTTCTGCAATTGTATGTTAAATTTTTTAAGAATATGATAAATACTAATAAGTAAATACTAAAAATACAAGATACCAAATTAAAGTAGACATGAAAAATAGAATAGTATATGTTACAGATAACCTGTTTCTCTTTCCAATGTATCTTTATGGCCATCTTTATCCCTATGTGTTATGGTCATCTTGTATCTATTTAAATGAATCTCCCGGTCACCAATGTCTATAAGAAGTTACTCGACATCCTAAATTACTTCATGGTATCATAGCCTAAAAGGTGGTGAGAAATCCAGAAAACCTTGCAAGCCATCTGTAATGGCCACAGATAAGCAAGCCCACCCCTGTCAACCTGTCATCGATAGGGATAAGTAATTATACCAACAAAAATAGCTTATTCAATGTAAAAAGTTAAACTGCACTGTTAAAAGACACCCATATCTTTTTACTATTACAGATATATGTGCATCTATATGTTCTCTTTGGTATACTAGTGATTTCAGAGTATCAAATTTGGTGTACAATTAATATTACATAAGTTAGAATTCAAGATAGTCATCATACGATACTAAGCTAAGGCTTAAAGGCTAAAAGACAGATCTATTCAGGCCGATAACTTCTAGCACTCAATGCTGGTCTTAGTTTTGAATACCTTCACTCCCTAAATGATACAGAACAAGTTAGTAATAGATCAATTTCGGCCCAACTGATTCGTTTATATTAGAAGGCCCAGGGGAGGCTGGGAAAAAGAGATGTGAGCTGGCAAAGTTAGTTAGACCTTTTTTTGGAAGTAGAGAAGTTAGATATATACCTTGGAGTGTTCAGGTGTGGGTATACATATTGATCTCCAACTTTGTTTCTGAGCTTCACAGCTTTGAGAGAGGGATCTTCCCTGTAATCAAGTCAATACTGTTCCTTCTTTGAGTATTCTGAGTATCAATGAGTTCATTTTTCTACTTCATTTATATCTCTATTATCTGGATTGCAGTTTGGTTTATAGTTTGTGTTTTGTACTTTTGTTGACGGTTTGACTTTTTCAACACTAATCATGATGCTTACAGAACATCCATCTTCCAGTTAAGATGGCTTCCCACAGCTTTAAATACCAAACATCATGCAAAAATTGCACGATCTACGCAAAAAGGTATTCCCAAAGTTTTGGATATTAGCAGAGCAGAAAATACGATATTTTTGCTGGGAAACCCACCAAAACCCTTTTTCTGAAAGGAAAATGGTGCCTCCAAAAAGTAATTATTGATTAAAGAAAAAAGTTACACCTAAAGGTGGTACTACCAGCTTTCACCAAATGTCATTTTCGAGGCCACTTACCTAAATACACCATAACAGGGTATGACGAAGGATCGTGTGAAAATAGGAGGTAAGGTGAGGAGCGTAGAAGAGTCCAGGGATAGAAAATTCAAACCCGCATGCAGGTAGATGTGCCTCTTCCAACAAACATCCATTCAAAACCCCCCAAGGGTGCGTTTGGTATTTAGACAAGAGAGAACATGACATGACAGATGTTCAGTGTTTGGTAAGACATAACTGGACATGACAGAACAAATAAAATGACCAATTTATACTTAATGAGTTGTTTATATATTTTAGAGCAAAATAAGTTTTTCGTCCCTGTAGTTTGTTAAAAATTGCAGATTTAGTCCCCATAGTTTTGAAATTTGATATTCGTCCCTGTGGTTTGCAATGCATTTCTATTTATGTCCGTATGGCCAAAACACTACTTTCAAGTATGAAGGACTAAAATAGAAATGAACTTTAAACCATAGGGACGAAAAAAGCAATAAATTTTAAATCATAAGAACGAAATAGATGATGAATAATAAACCAAAAGGATGAAAATCATAATTTCAAAACCATAAGGATGAAAACAGAACTTTTCAACAAACCACAGGGACTAAAAACGTAATTTATTCTATATTTTATATATTTATATTACTTTATGTAATTTATTAAATTATAATAAAATAAATATCTTTTATAACGATATATATCATTAGAAAGTTTTTATCAAGACGATTAAAATGACACCAAAATAATTGGTTTATGTAGTTTCTAGTTTTTATTTTATATTTTTCTATATAATTTTTTATCATTAATATTTAACAAATTACATAAAGTAATCAAAATATAGAAACCGTATAAAACTAATATCTCGGGGACAGTAACGTGAAAGTTTAAAGAGCATAAAATATAGCAAATAAAATTTAAAGAACGAATAAAATGTAAAAAGGGAGGCGTATTTGATGTTTTAGAAGAGAATTAGGTTTTATTTTGAGGTTATATTGGTAAAATATAGGTTTGTTCCACCTTGTTCCATGGGGTGGGGGTAGAACACACCTGTTCCACTTTGTTCCTGTCTGTTCCACATAAAAGTCCTGCCAAACATGTAACAGTGATCCCTCCTCTGTTCTGTCCTGTGACCTGTCCAGTGTACCAAACGCACCCAAAGGGAATGGAGTTGAACATGTGTACAAACTTGTATTGTGTGATGAAGAGTCCTCAATTAGACTAGGATCTTTACACATGGGTACACAGCTTGCACATGACCATTTACAGACTAGAAAGACCTGCACCTACAGAACTCTATCTGAATTAACACGATGTAGGAGTCCAGCTACATGCTTTCCCCTCTCACTAAAAAATACCAATTCTTCAAAATGCCTCACTAACAGATATGATGGCCTATGGGACCCAACAACATGCTTCTGATAAGAACACAAACTAACTCTTATTTAATTTATCAATGAACAAAATATAAGACCAGAATTGTGCCTACAATTCGAGGAGTAGGTGATCTCCCAAGATTCTAGACTCAATTTTTCCTTCCTCAAACCCTTAACCCTCATGACCTACAAATACTCATGATCTCCTAAACCTACCATAATTCGTATAGCTTACTAAAGGATATCATAAAACACAGCTAATTAATATAATAATCAAAGATAACTATTTAATATTAACTACTAAGCCCTGCAAAGTCCCACAAATCACCCTACACCCCCTTGTGATCGGCGTTTGTACATTCTATCAAAACGCCCTATTTCTATGTGCTTCTTCTCATTAAGATTAAGACATGCAACATCCTTCCAAGGTTTTCCAAGGAAGACCCCCATTCAACTGTCGAAGAGAAGACAATCCCTAATCCAGTACCTAAGCACATGTTGAAATCTCAATTTATTTGTACACTATTTATTAGAGATTCTGCATCTTTTCCTTAAAGTTTTTATTATTCTCTAGGATTCCTTTGATTGTGTTTCCTTGTAAAATTTAACACCATGTTCTCCCTATCCTCTTGTAAAAACACAAGGTGTCACTTTCGATCTTCAACTTTCTCACAATTTTGCATTAACCCACATAACTCCAAGTGAGTAAACAAAAAAGCCGAGATTCATATCAAGCATGAAATCTTAGATTCAACACCATCCATGTAACTTAGTTCACGATTGACCTATTTATTTCACTAATGACCTATTTAATAAACAACTTGAATCACTAGCATGAGGCTTGTCAACTACTTAGAGGGTTAGATAAGATAAAGCACTCCCTTGTTCACGGATAAGATATGCAACTACACTCCATGGCGTCAAAGTCAATTTGGAATGTTCAAGGGAAAATTCTCAACTACACTCCCCTCTAATAGATGCTACAACTAAAGTATGTTCAACATATGTTGTTAAGCAAATCGCGTTGATGACCTCTTTCTGATTAAGCGCCCAAAAAAACTCATTACCAGAACAAAATTCATGGGTAAAATGCATGGTTACTACTTGCAGCATATTGTTATTCTTGTTTTGTGTGTTAGCTATAGAGTAATTAAAATACCTGAGCAGAACGGGCCGAATCATCAAGTTTCAAGACAGCCAACGCACCGGAAACATCAGGGTCAATCCCGATAACAAACTGTGAATCGACATTTCTTGAAAGAATCCCACCATTTCCACAACCCTCTTCATGTTGAAATATTTGGTTTCCCGTTTCTGTAATGAGAGGATGGCAAGTGAGAGAATTCAACCATTGCTCTTTGAGCTCATCAGCAGAAACCCTACTTATTGCCTCGATTTTCCCACTTCTACTAGTACATAATTTTGGGATAGAAGTAGAGAAATACTTGGAGACAATGGAGTGTAAGCAAAGCGTTGCGGTGGCGGCACTGAGATTACATGAAAAAGAAATTGGTGTAATGGACATCTGGGATATTTGCAGTCGATGATGATGTTGATGGAATTGAAGAGCATCCATCAACCACAAACAAAATTTCCGAAAGAAAATGGATTGTTGATGAGCTTTCCGTTAATGGTGGTGTTGCGGTGGTGCTGATGAGATTAGTTGCAGTATTCGCAGCAATGAATCGTGTAGAAGAGCATGGGATATCGTCTATGGCACCACACAAAACTCCATTAAAATTCACAAAACAGGTAGTGCTTAAAACTTCTTAAGATAAAACTTCTTAAGAAGGGAAAAGATTACACACAATAAAATGTCAAAATTATTAGATTAGTAAACTCAACATTAACCTTCAAGTATAAAATTTATAATTCAACACCCATATACAAACAATGACCCAAATTGAATAGAAATCAAAACCAATCCTTTTAACTAAGAAAATGTCAAAACCATAATAGTAAAAACTTCAAAATCAAATAAGTAGAGAAGTAAACAACAAGAATGGAACGTATTAGACACAATCCAATTACACAATATATTTGACTGCTACTATGCTCCATTTTACCCCCCTCACAATCCCATATAGCAGAACTGACACAAAGATCAAAGCTTTCTTGTAGTCCACCAAAGGTGAAATCTTTCTTGGAAAGCTAGAGAGAGAGGTGGGTCCTTTCTTTCTCTTTCTCTCTCTATATCTATATCTGTATCTATCTCTTTCACAAATAGAAACAGTCATTTGTACACTGTTTTCACTTATATAAGTACATTCCTTTTAGTGATTTTTTAGTCTTCTTTTCACCTCTGAGTGTGGGTTGTATGTGTTTTTCATTGTGAATGAAATACCTGTTTCTTTCACTAGATTCTGATAATTACACACACATACACACTGTAATCACCAATCATTCTTTGATTTTTTTTTTAATTTTCCACTTCATTTCCTCTGTTTTTCCAATCAAATTGAATAGAAATCAAAACCAATCCTTTTAACTAAAAAAATGTCAAAACCATAATAGTAAAAACTTCAAAATCAAATAAGTAGAGAAGTAAACAACAAGAATGGAACGGATTAGACACAATCCAATTACAGAAAATGTCAAAATCATTAAATAGGAAAGCTCAAAATCAATGTCAAAATCAATCATCATGCTACCTTTCAAAAAGCTCGTCATTAGTTGAAGGTCCTAGTAAAATGCTTCTTGGTGAGGATATGCCATATTCAACTCAAATGATATCACATGCAGATGAGGATAAAAAGAAAAATATTGCAACATTGGTATTTATGACAAATACTCAGAAATAGTATGGCATACATGAACTTCTTCGTTAGGATGTGTCTTATTCAATCATGTTTTATCAGGAAACTATGCAGTAAAATCATCGGAGATTTTCTTGTAAAGTTTAATCATGTCTTGGGTTATCAGCAAATCATCCCCCTCATAGAAATCCACACAAACTATCTGCAGAACCAGAAAATCCTTATTTTGTTCCAAAACATTTATCAAGTAATAACACACATTGATAAACCCATACTATTTGCTAAATCATAAGAGACACAACAAACTGCTCGATATGGAAATGAACTAGAAAATAAATGGAAATATACATGGGTATTGAATTATAAACCACAGTTTCAGGCAAATGATCAAAATCTAAGACCAAAACAATAATCTTATTTTGGAGGAATAAAAGACCACCTTTAATCCAAGAAGTTTAACATGCCTGCTGCTTCCACTATGGCTTCTGTTCCAAACCCACAACAAAAGACCACCTATAATCTTCCAATTGGATCCGAATGCTGCAAAAATCCCAAAAACATCATAAATTTCTAAAAACCCACAACATATTACGAAACCGATTCTAACCACAATAACCCAAATTCAGGATATTGAACACACACTCACACATGATGCTCTGAGCGTCAACTAAAACACAAACTAATTAGAAAACATATCATACGAGCATGATACGAGCAGATTGTGGAACTCAAACACCCATATGATAACTATTTTAATAACCCAAATCCACGTATATAGATATGAAGCAGGAGGTAGAACAAGATTCTGAAAGTGAGGTTTGGTAGGAGTCTAGTGCATATCGAACGATTTGGGTTTAAAATCGGAAGATCGACATACCTTGTAGAGAGGCCGATTTGGAGAAACCAATTTGCATAGATTGATTTGGAAGATCAGTACTTAGAGATAGAGCGAGAGCCCTACCGCTTAGGCTATCACTTAAAATTTCAGGGTAATGGTTTATCAGTTTTTATTTTAAAAAATTTAACGGTCTGAAAATAAACAATCGATCGATTCTAATTTAAAGAGGTATTAAGGGGTTTTTAGAAAGAAAAAAATCATCAAACTAACCATTTTATACAACCTTCTCTAACAAAATAATTATTTTTTGGAGGAATTGCAAAAATACCCACCCAAATCGGCCTTGGGGGCGATCCACCCCTAGGGGCGAGCCATGTCATCCCATCGCCTCCGGGGGCGATCCTGCCATTAAGTATTTTTTTTTCTTTTTTTGTAATACTAATTTCATTATAAATATCAACCACCTACTTTATAATTTTTCACACCTCCTTTTTCATTTCTTTCTCATATATTATACTCTCACAATCTTTAACTCTTCAATACAATAAACCATCACAACCTTTAACCCATTAAACAGAATCAACCATCACAAAACATGAAATCACGTCAAAGTGATGATGTTTGTGTGTATCTTCGAAGTGGCGGTTTATTCAAAGAGATAAATGGTGTGTTAGAGTACCTTCCGATAAGCTCCCCCACATGTGCAATATGTTTGTCTTGGCCAATAACGTATTTTGGGTCGTCAAACGTGTGACGAAAAAGTTAAGTTTATGTGGTTCTTTCAATTTATTTTTTAAAACGAATACGTTATATCAGTTCATGGACGACGATGATGTGATAATCTTCCATAATGCCATTCGTCAAACTTTACCAAAAATGTTGACACTATTTGTGGTCGACAATGGAGGTTATGGAGGAAATCCAATCCATCAAGTGCAAACTCGGGCAGTCCAAATACTTTTTACCCCGGTGCTGTGAGCACACTCTTCCCTGACATTAGCGGTGCAAACCCATATGGTCCAAGCACACTCTTCCCTACCGGTTGTGCTCCTGGTGTAAATCAGAGCACTTTCTTCCCTAGTGGTGGAGTGGTGAAAATCCAAGCACCTTCTTCCCTTATGATGCCGCTGGAAATTCATATTTTAAACAAAAAGTTACCGTTGAACCTGACAGTTATTTTGTTCAAGATTTGAACATGCCTCCGATGCAGTCTCCCAACCCGTACCTGATCCGGTCTCCCGAACAGTCAAAACCATTGTGGGAGGTAGATATGGCCGAAGATGTTTCTGTTACTACCGAAATTTTGAACATAGCCGAAGACGACGATAACTCTGATTCTGAATAAATCCAGCCGGTAATGAATAGTTTTTGGGGTATGCCCGACCCAACACTTTGTCCAGACCCAGTTATCAAAAGTAGACAGGGAAACATTTCCTACCAGCCTACATCCCATGTCAAAGTTCTCCAAACCTTTGACTCGAAGGAAGCACTGAAGCTCGCAGTGGGATTAAAGTGCGTTCATGAAAACTTTTGGATGAAGGTAAAGAAATCATCCAAACACCGGTACGAGGTGGTGTGTCACTCAGATTCGGACTGTGATTGGCGTTTAATGGCTATCTTTATCGATGGTACCAGTATGTTTCAGGTACGGAAGCTCCACGATGAACATACATGTTCAAGGTCCCAAGTGCACCCAAACCACCGTAATGCGAATAAAAAAGTTTTGGGTCATATATTGGCAGAGAGTTTAAAGGATTGTAGGAGAATGTATCGTGGTAAAGAAATCATGGAAGATGTGAACCAACGGTTCAATATAAGCATCTCCTACAACCAAGCATGGCGAGCAAAGATGTATGTCTTGCAACTGTTGAGGGGGACCTCTGAATCATCGTTTAACCAATCTCCCGGTTTATTGTCACAATCTGAAGCTAACAAATCTGGGGACTGTGACAGAGATCGTTGTTGATGGACTTGGACGATTCGACATGTTGTTTGTCGCACTCGGTTGTTCGGTAATAATTTTTGTCATATTTTTTAATTATTGTCATAATTTTATGTTCTGAAGTTTAGATTTTTAATCTCGTTCATCTGCAGATTCGATCGTTTCTAGGACACATGAGACCGCTTCTTATAATGGATGGTGCCCATCTGAAGGGGCTATACGTTGGCACCATGTTCTTAGCGGTCGGCATGGATGGAAACAATGGGATCGTACCCATTGCAATGGGAGTGGGGATGACAGAAAGTGGCCTGTCATGGACATGGTTTTTACGTAAGTTGAGGTAGTGTATCGGTGATGTGCCCAATTTAACCTTTGTAACCAATAGGGCTGCCTCTATCGACCTGGCCATACGAACTGTATTTCCTAACGCGCACCACAGACTTTGTTGTTGGCATCTGAGCCAGAACCTCCGCCTAACCTCCACTAAAGAGAAAAGAAAACGGTGGATGTTTTAGGAGGCATGCAAAGCTTACAGGTTGTCGGACTTTGAAGCTACTATGAATTTGATGCAGCATAGTCTACCTAGAGCCGCTCAATATCTTGAAGAAGTTGGTTACGCTAGATGGGCACGATCGCACTTCCCTGGATTGCGTTACAGTGCAATGACTTCCAATAATGTTGAGTCCGTCAACACAGTAACGCGGTTTGCACGCTATCTTCCGATAACAATGTTAGTTGAATTTTATCGGGCGACATTGCAACAATGGTATTTCATACGTCGGCACAACGGAGGTAAATTCAACCATCCTTTCACTATATGTTTGATTATGTAACATATTCTAATGATATCAAATATTTGCAGCGCAAATGATGAATGCAGTGACTCCTTGGGCGGAGGCCAAATTAGAAAACAGAATACATAGGAGCACAAAATGGAAGGTATTTCCTATCAGCGATTTGTTGTTTGAAGTTGACGACATGTATAAGAAAGAAACATGTGATTTGCATAAGAAAGAAACATGTGATTTGCATGCTAAGACTTGTACATGCATGCAATGGCAACTTTCTGGAATAGCTTGCGGTCATGTGATATATGTTGCTCGAAGTTTAGATATTCAAGACTGCAGTCAATTCTGTTTTGTTTAGTTCAATTCCGACTCTTACCGTTCAACATACGAGGAGGAAGTCATTCCCCTTCCACCAGAAGCTGAATATGTGTTGCCCAACGAACGTTTGGCCGTCCTACCGCCTCCCTTGGACATACAAAACTCAGGCAGGCCACGTAACCGCGATCGTATCCCGTCACGAGACGAGGAACCAATAGTGAAAACTTGCAATCGATGCGGCCAGAGTGGACATTTTCGATATAATTGTCCGAGTCCGATGCCAGCTCCTAGGCCGACGCACGAAAGTTCAAGTAGTCGTCAAAGATCAGTTAGTCGTCCAAGCGATTATGGTCCGTCTGAATCTGATACTACACAAGACTATGTATTTGATATTTACGATTTAAGTAAGTAAATATACGATTTTAAAGTGTAGTTTTGTTGTTTTAATAGGAAATGGGAGCTTGATTTAGAAATGCATGAACATTAACCATCAATACATAGACGAATCAACTGAAACAACAACAATCAGACGTAACATTAAAACAAAAAACATCAACGACAACAAAAATGTTAATACATAACATTTTTGTTAGTTTCCTTCTGAGTAAAGTTGTTTGCAAGATTCAATCAAGTACTGTTTTTCATTGATCATTTCTTGCATCACTGGTACTCATTCGCGATGTCCTTCACAATTTTTTCCTCAGCTCGAATCTCTTTTTGCAATTGCTTGATAGCTTTTTTCTTCTCTTCAATAGCTTCTTCGTGTTTATTTTGTCTCTCCCTGTTAGCCCACCAATCATCAGTGATCTTCTTAATCTCTGCTTCGGCCTTTTCAATCGAAGCCTTCATCCTAGTTGGCATTGTTTGAGAAAACAATGGGTTTGCAGCCATTTCTTTCAATAAGTGGACAAGTACTTGTATCGGACTTGATATGAAGTTGTGATATATGATTTCACAAGGCATCCTTTTTATACACTATCGGCCCTTACGATTTAATAAAGTTGGTCTAATAGGTGGCATGATGTTGTCAAATTCTGTTCATGAACCTGGCATGACTTGGTAAATCGTCCCTGACTTAAAGCTTACAAGATTCGTCCTGAAACCCTAACCCGTGAACCTACCAATGCACTGTACTTTGACAGTGTATAACTCACAAACCGTAAGTAGGAATAAGCCCGTATTTTGCAGTTATAAAAATCTTACTGTATACTACAACTTTCATGAACGGTTAAAAATCCAATTATGACTCGAAGTGGCTGGACCCGGTCGGTTTTTTAGGCTATTTGCACACTTTTCGTTATTAATTTGTAGTTTTGTAAAATTCATATAAAATAGATAGATGATCCAAATGAGACGATTCCAAAACTAATATACTCATGTGGTACCAACCTACAACTTTTATTTAGAAAATATAATTTGGATTGGTCTCTGAGAAGGGAAAAAAATGCTTACAAAATGCATAAAGTTAACAAAAATATTACAAAATGCAGTCATGAACCTGCTAGGACTTGTTAAATCGTCTATGAGTTGTTAAATCTTCGCTGACATAAAGCTTACAAGATTCATCCTGAAACCCTGACCCATAACCCTACCAATGTACTTTCACCCCTCCCCCTTTTGCCTCGACTTTGGTGACTCTACCCTCAGGGGCGATACATTTTTAAATTTTTTTTGACATTATTTTGCAAAAAAAATATAAGCTTCTTTTTTTGGTGTCAAATGTTCCTATTTAATGGGTTGATGTTAGAAGACATATTACTGGCTACATTTTTCTGTTTTCTTTATAACAATGGACGGAAGCTCGTTCAGTTCTAATTTTAAAGTTCCAACGACAAATGAGGAGTGAGAGAGGTTGGGATAAGAATGATGGAGAAGTCAACTACTACAAAAAATGCCCGATCATTTGAGAGAGGCTATCAAGGATTACCAACTTAAATTGGATACACTACAGGAAAAACGTGCGGACCTTCGTTCAAAAAAGGAGAAGATTGAACATGAGATGAACGAGCGGACGAGACAGATTGCTGATGCAAAACAACAGATTAAGCAACAACAATGTTGGATTGCTGATACAAGAAAGAAAATCAAAGAGGCGGAAAACCTGAACCACGATGCATGGTTCGAGCTTGCATGCAGGGAGACTGAAAGAAACATTAGGTGGAATGAAGAGGACATTAAAAAAAACGAAAAGAATAGAAAAAATAAAATCACTCTATCCACATGATAAAATTTAGTAGTATCAGGTAAAAAACTTATTGTTGTCAAAGTTCCTGGTTCGATCTTTTAAAATGTATTGTACTGAAATGATGATGATGTGACAAGTCTCATTATGTTTTCCCTATAAATAACCTTGTTTTCCATTACAAATCCACACCACCATCAATTATTCACTGCCTCTCAACTCAGTAGATAAAAAATGGTGAGACATTGCAATTGTGGTGCTGATGCAATCATCAGAACGTCATGGACCGATCACAACCCAGGCCGTCGATTCTTTTGTTGTTCATTACCTGTGAGTGTTTGCGTATATATGACTTTCGTATATAACAACTGGTAGTTTATATATATATATATATATATATATATGTATTCCTTACTTTTTTGTAGGGAAGAAACTGTGGATTTATTGATTGGCTTGATCCACCCATGTGTCCAAGATCCGTGCTAATTATTCCAGGGTTATTAAGATCGAAAAATAATCTTGAAGCGTCACTTTTTGAAGCTGTTTTACAAGATCGCCGGTTAAGGATGATGATGGCAATAAGTTGGATCTCTTTTTTAGTGATTGCATTGGTTTTTGTTCGTCAAGACGATTGTAGGATAATTGTGATTTACGCTTTAATATTATCGAAAACCATTTCATAAAATAGTGCAAACAATGTCATTTACAAGGAATAAATTTTTTAATTGGGATTAGTTACACGCGTTGAGTACAATATAGATGTCACACGTTGACGAAACATCATCGCATGAAGGTCGGTAGGCCGTATCACAATTGACCTCTAGTCCTTGGGACAACTGCTCAATAAACATGCAGTAGAACACCCCACAATTGCCCAGCGCTCCCGTCTGTCGAGGCGCGTTGTCTGAAAAAAAGATATATATATATATATATATAGGTACACAAATTGAAACTTAACATATATACGTATATATGTGTACGTATTTAAATACGTACACATATTTACATATATTTACGTACGTATGTATGTCCGTAT